AGAAAGAAAGAAAGAAAGAAAGAAAGAAAGAAAGAAAGAAAGAAAGAAAGAAAGAAAGAAAGAAAGAAAGAAAGAAAGAAAGAAAAAGAGAAACGAAAGAAAGAAAAGAAAAGAAAAAGATTCTTAGTACACGCATGCAAGAATTAAACAGTGGCTAGATTTTATCACTAAATCATACATACACTCAGGCAACTATAGTATATGAATGACTAACACAAAGCAAATTTTTTTCTGCTTCCACGTAATGCAGAAACTGAAATGTTTTGCTTGGAATACTTCTGTTTGCACTCTTGTAGAGGTACAGATGTATATCTAAAGACATGCATTAGTTTTATTTACTGTCTTATGTAGCTAGAAGATTCTTTTCCTTGATGTAACTAAACTCGGCACCACTTCCTGAAAACATCTCCATCTATTCTTCACAGATAAGAGCCTGCGGTCCGTATCAAATGGCCGACACATTGATTGTTCCAATGGTTAACTGCTAGTTCCATGGAATCAATACTTTGGACTATTCATTACAGGTGCTAATAATGCCATTGTCCCTTTTGAGCAGTGGTCAGGGAACAGGGGTAAATTACCCCAAATGGGATAAAAATGAAAATCCTGGGGGTAATGAGGATGAGCAGAGCCCCAATATTGATGCTCTCATATCCAAGATGAAGCAACATAATTTCTCCAAAACCTGACGTTTTCAAGTCAGTTGAAGCTTTCAAAGTAATTTTGAATAGATTCAATAAGATTTTGAATTCAAATAATGTATGATTTCCTTCCTTTCAAATCAAGGGGGAAATGTCGACGTATATAAATTTTGGGGTGGGGGGGTAAAAGGTAAAAAAGTTCCCTGATCTCTGCTTTTGAGAGTTCATTGCCAGTATAAATTTTGGGGGGTAAAAAAGTTCCCTGATCGCTACTTTTGAGAGTTCATTGCCAGTGTAATGGTTGCCAATTCCCACACCCACCTCACTTGGTCCCCCCCTCCCCACGACCACATGTTCTGTGCAGATAAACCTGTGGCCTATTATGCCCTCTGTGTG